GCCATCCTAGTTAAATTGTTTTCACCGATCAAGGTGGATTCAATGTTTGCTCAACGAGGTCGCACTTCTTGATATTTGGAAATGGCTAAAAGTTTTCTCTGCCGAGATCTTACACCAATGGAGCGAAGAAATACGGCTCTGCAGTCAAATAGATCAATGACTTCTCAGCCTATTATTCATAAGTCTGGTCGTAGTCCCGATAGCGTCAATGCACCCGCTAAGCCTCCTCCCCGGAATTCTGGTCATACTCCCGCTAACATCAGTTCTCCTGTTATCTCTGCCACCCAAACTTCTAGTAATAGGCCCATTAACATCAATGCACCAGTTGACCCGCTCCCTCGATGTCGGGACCTACAAGACCCTCCACTCCACCATCTACTGCGATTACAACTCGCCTAAATACTTCCTCTGTCCAACGATCGATAAATTCCGTTGCCTTTATCTCTGCAACAAGCCCATCAATAATGTCGCCAACACCGTCGAAAGCGTTTAGGCCGAATGCGTCCCCACCGCAACCTAACTCCTCTCTTGACCGTACGAGTCATATTATCCCCCCGTATAATGCGTTTTTGAACGAGTTGGGCCCGAACCACGAAAAATCTAATTCGCACGGCAGTAACCCAAACCGGTATACTTTTAAATATAATCGGAATTGCCGAACAGGAAATTCACTGGCTAAGACCACTAGTCTTTACGCAAACGGCCCCAACACTAACTGTTTGTGACCTTTTTCCCCCAACGGTTCCTTTAGCCACCCTCATCCGCCCAAACCCGCAAATTTCTACATGCCTTCTAGCCCTCTCCCTTTCCTCCCTAATGGCCCAGACGCTCATTGTAGTTTATCCTCTCCACATTTTCCCATGCCAGAAAATAGGGTCCCTAGATATTTTAGACTTTATCAGCCATCCATTATTGTCTACCCATATGCAAATAGCTCCTTACCCATCAGTACTTATTCCCCAAATAATAACGGCCTACAGTTTACCTGCTACGCCCGATGTTATATGCATAACAGAATCTTGGACCAATCCAATCATTTCTA